CTTAGAACGTAATATCTCACCTCCTGCTTGAATTAGCAATTTATAACTTTTCAATTTTGCAATAGCATTTTCAAATTCAAAGGGGCTAGAATCAGGTACTAACAGCTCAGCTGTATGTATTTATATCTGCTAACATCACTGATCCTATGTAAGTTCAACAACTGAGGGAAATAGTTCTTCCACCTATTCGAAATATTGTGGGAATCTGCAAGCAGATAACATTTCCCATTATTCACTAAGTTACTTCTAGGCTGGCAACCCCTCTTAATGACATTTATTCCACTATACAGTTCTCTAATATGCTTGTTCTTACTGTTAATTGCAAGCCCATAAATTTTGTCTTTCAGATATTCCCTCTTTTTATTCCTGAAATGCCTATTGTTTTCATGTCTTATATTGTTCGGATTATCCCCATTTATTTCACTTGGCTCCTGTAACCACTGCAATTTGGCTTGTTTCCTTTGGTCTAATAATTTTGAGCATCCGGAAACTTATAAGACCAAAGGAGGGTAGCTGCAAATATATTGAATAAGCAGTTGCGGACAGCCAACAAGCGGTGATCCTGCAGCTTGGGGCTTGGGCATGGGGCCAATAACTCGTCATAAAAATAATCTTGTTACAAAAGATCACAAAAAGCCTCGGACCTAGAGGGAAATAAACCTGTCTACTGACAAAATGTGATGTCTAAACAAGGCTGACTTAAGTAATCTCCTCCCTTAATATGTATGAGATTATCAAGATTATCCACTTTATGATCCATCACTCACCTAAAAGGAAGATTGATTTTCCATCAGTGTGAATAACATCAACAAATTTTGCATCGGTGGGGTCAAGACGTACAAATGATGGCATCCCTTGGAAGTATGGTTCTGCAGGGTCCAGACCTGTTATGCGTCCCAGGCCTCTTATGCGCTCCCCAGCATAACCTGCTGTATGGGCTCCAAGACTGTGGCCTATCATGTGTACATCTGCTGGGTTCAAGCCAAAATTTGCCTAAAATGACCCAGAGAATTAGTTTCAATCCTAAAACTAATTGAATGTCAATGAAGTATATTAATTCTTTTGGGAGCATGAAATAATGGAAAATCTTCAGAAACATTAAATGGGGATTCCACTGCATTTAGGATTCTTCATGAAATGTGAAAAGATTCAGGGAAGGTTGGATCGATCCATTTACATATTTCATCCCTGAAACTATTAAACAAATCATCAGAGGAATGTCATTCTTACTTGAGACTCTCATTGCAGTGACTGTGAAGATGTCTTCTGGGTTGTTATGTCATGAGCATTGTTATTTGGCATCAGATTCTACAAGATCATATCTTAGAATTTAATTTTGATTTTCATCAATATACCTATCTATAAGCTACAAATAAGTCTTTTACTGAGTTCCTTAAAAACATTTTGATGTAAATCATGAATCTCCTAAAGGGCTACATATTTCATGTAAAACACTTTTAACACAATAAGTAAATAACCAAATGTAACAGAAAACAATTTCTGGTTGCATACAATGTCATACAGTATTTTTGCAACAGTGTGTTTGCATCTGCAATGAATGCCATTTAGGAGTTTAAAATATCAAGGAAAGCAAATGGAAAATACTGCAATATTATGCACATCTTTCCATACTTGCATGTGGCAATGGTACATAAATTTCTCAGTAAATAAATGCCAGTGTATGTTAAGTATTTTTTAGATAAAAAAGTATCAATGAAAACATACAGAATTCAGGACAATGCATTTGTATGCTTCCTTTTGTAAGAGAATGACCCCTTTAATCAAGCTGGCTTTTTAATGATGCCATTACTTAAATTATATGGTATCTGATGACAGGATGATTAATGTATGTGGAGTAGGTAATGGAATGAGACCTGGTGCTCATTTTTCCACCACAAATCTCACATTACCTGACATGGGATTGAACTCAGGCCATCACAGTGCGGAATACCTATATATCATAAACGAACTCACTGATAAAGGATACTACATTCTGGGATGTGACACCATGTAGTCTGAGAGATATTTACTAACATTTCAGAGAATCATACTGCTCCATTATCAGGGTGGAAGAGTAAACTGTACTGAACTGAGCATAATGGGTGGAACCAAGATAGTTTCTCCATGTTAGAAGGCCACTAGCAAACTGCTGTTCTGGTAAATATCAAAGTACATAATATTATATTTGGTCATTCCATTGCATTGATGTATCACTCACTCATTCACATCTGTCTTTAAGGCACAGTCGCTCTTCTAATTTAAAATAATATTAAAATCACACTAATTGCTACATGTTTCAGCCCTACTTGGCATCTTCAGGTAATTGTTCACTTTTTGAAAACCATCACAGTGCACTAGATAGTAAGTCAATATATTTCAGTACTGCTGCATATCGCTGTTCACACTAAATTGTGTTTGTTTGAGAATAAAACTCTGCCTCCGTTCAAAATTATTTTCCTTTTTCTCATCCAAGTTTGCACCCCATTCATATATATGTTTTCACTATTTGGGTGTATGTCTCTTGTACACAATTATATAAAACTGTGTACAAGGAAAATATGCCCAACTAGTGAGAGCAGTTTTAAGTTACATTAAAGATGGAGGTGAATGATTGATGATCAAAGTACATGATGTCATATCCCAGAAGACAGAAATTATCTTAGCCCACATTGTGAGAACCTCATATCTGACATACTAATAAATCTTTCAGAATTCCAGCAATAACATACTTGTACATCAATTCTGATTTATCTTATGTTAAAAACCATCATTTTCCCCAGTTTATCATATTAACAAGTAGCTGCATTCATTCATTCATTCATTCATTCATTACCTGTAGATGGTTGACCAAGTATGCCAATTCAAGGCCAACAAGTCTAGTGTTTGCTGTTGCCTGAGTGTACAATGGCAAGGAGCCACCAGCCCAGTCTACTGCCACAATATTCCAATCCGCATGCTTAAGGAGTTCCTTCCGCATCTCCTGCAAAGATCAGGAACTGATGTCTTACAAAATAATTGTAATTATTACAAAGTTATTCCTATTTGTATTCAGGCAGTAGATTTAAAAATGTTGGCATGGACTCCAAGTATCTTAAATAAGATTTCCTGTTACTTACATAAGAAATTGGCCTAACTGCTGGCCCTTGCACCACGAACTTTGGTGATTTATTGTGCATACTCCACTATTTTAACCTTTCAACAATCCTACACTATGAATAAAGTGCAGGATTCTGTTTATAGCAGTGTCATGAAAGTTGTGTGGCTCCATAAAATAGTGGCCCTGGAGAAGAAATCTGAAGTAAGCTGGCCTCACGCTTGCATAGAATGTGTGTGGCTGATTCATCTTTTTCTAAGCACCTTTTGCAAATAGGACTATCTATCAATTCCATTTTGAGATGGTGTCCTTTTTGGGTGACAGTGTCCTTGAATTAGTTCTGCCGCTTATCATAACAGGTTTCTGTCTAAATTTTACACTTCCTTGGTCCTTCTGGCAGAGGATCCTTGTGTCAGTCTCTTTGCCTGTTTGAGTCCTGTTTAGGATTCCCAGTGTCTTCTTATGGTCTCTGTTTGCTTAGTCCCTTACAGCTTTCTTGGCAACTACTACTGAAATGCCGCAAGCTAGTTTAGGTTACACTCATTACCCGGCGCCCATATCAGTTGAACACTGTTATATTTAGCCAATTGAACAGGGGATTTATGGTAATCCCAAACCAATTTTGAGTTGATTTGATAATTGTAAAATGGTTTAATTGCAGCTGTCTGATAGAATGAAGATGTTATTTCTATAGCTCTTATCTAGGTTCACTGTAAAAGTAAGAGTTATGATTATAATAATTCAATGAATATCCTGGCTTGGCAGAAATTCCAATGTATCAGAACATTTGTTTATATTAACATGGCAAAAATTATCATAAAAATGGTATTCAAAACCACATTTCCTGTTGACTGGCATCGCTGGAAAGAAGAACATGTAACTTTCTAATACTATTTTTTGTTGCTAGGGGGGTGGAACTAAGTCCTTTGTACTGTGGCCACTTCTGGCCTATTTTACCAGCCCCAGATGATAGGTGAGGGTGGTTATGGAGCAATTGGTGGAATAAAAATTGGCAAGGGAAACCGAAGTACTCGGAGAAAACCTGCCCCAGCGCCACTTTATCCACCACAAATCCCGCTTGACCAGACGGGGGATCGAACCCGGGCCACTGCGGTGGGAAGCCAGCGACTAACCGCTTGAGCTATGGTGTGGCCCTTTCTAATACTAACTCTGTGTGCTGATATTAATGTGTCAAACTTTCTGACAAAATTGAAATATTCATCAGCTTTCCAACAGGCCTTAGAATTAGACCAAATCAGTCAAATTAAATTTTTTCTAAGAAATAGATGTTGACATTTCGTAATTGTAATTAAAACTGCATAATTACCTTGACCCAGTTGCTGAGTGGTGTGTCAATAAATCCATGAATTATGAATTTAGTTTCTTTCCTGGGATCAAAGTTGGATTTGCTTATTGTTTGATCATTCTGCGCCCTCAATACTTGGCCCTGTTAGTAAAATAATATTACCAGTGTTGGGTTTGAGGTTCTAATAATAACCGTGGTTATGAAGTACAGTATTTTGTCTTCTTGGATACAATACCACATAAACCAGTGGAAGTCAACCACTGTTTTGGACAAACATAACTCCTCCATCATCGAGGTCAAAGGGTAATCTAAGCAGCATGAAGCAGGCAACAAACAGGCTCTGCTGTTGACTTTTACTGGACTACATGGCATTATATCCCAGAAAATTGAACTGTTCATTATTACCTTTGATATATCAAGTTGGTTATTTAACAATGGTGTCAGTATTGAGACTATATAGCTTCAGTGCCAGGATGGTTAATGAATGCGGAGCAGTTGGAGGAATTAAAATTGTCATTAGAAACTGAAGTACTCAGATACAACCCACCTCAGTGCCACTTTTCCAACCAAAAATCCCATATGATCCGACCTGGTATTGAACCTGGGTCTCCATAGTTTAAGCCAGCAGCTAACCACCTGAGTGACAGTAGAGCCTATTACATTTGTTATAACCAAATCGAATAAAATACAATAAAATATTCTTAATTAAATTATTGAATTGGTACAGAAGTACATTTCAAAATTCATTGAACTAGTGGAAAATCTCACTCAAAGAGGGATAGTTTTTTATCTTCATCCTCCACCATCTCTGTTCCTTTCCTTTAACAATTTCATACCTTTATCTTGTTCCCTAATTTCTCCATTAAAAGAGTGAATTTAGTTTCAGCTCTATCTTCACATGGAACAGATTCAGAGTTGTCACCNATCTTCACATGGCACATCACCTGTGTAAGTGCATGAGAACAACGTAACACACACACATACTCAGATGATGCACAAATGCTTCCAGTGCAATTTGTTAGAGGTGAAGCACCTTTTGCCCTGAAGATATTGTAACTGTAATTTACATAGAAGTAACTACAAAGAATCCACTAACTTAAACTTGGCACCATACCTTAAAGCTAGGCATAACATCATGCTGCGGAGGAGAACTGGGAATGGAGGTGAAGCTTAACCTTCACCCAAAATACAACTGAGTCATCAGCATCACACTCAGGCTTCCTTTCTAACCACACTTTGTACATAAAAATGTTTGAGTGACTGCTTTCTGAAATACTGTAACATTTAAAACTATTAAATATGCCATACCAAGGGTCAGCACTTGTTTTATTTGGTCTTTATCACACTCTATTCGAGATGTCTATAGAGTGGACATAAATATAAGCGTGGCAGCTGAGCGTGACAAATAAACATGTATAACATCAATGAAACCATTTTATACAACATCCCTAAATACAGCATTTTGAATACCCTACATGTGTCAGCTTATTTTATGCTATCATAAGGGCTATTCCAATGGAATACCTAAGGCTACTAAACACTTTGATCAGCTGCTACAATTTATACAAAATGAGATTTTTAATGCAGTAACCATTCTTAAAAAATCCATACTATATTTCCTACAGCCATTGAAACCCTAGTCTTGAAACATATTAAATGACTGATATATTAAGGATATACGAATCTGAATATACAAAAGTAATGTAAAATTTGAGCTTTCAGAAATAAGACAGTAGCCCTGTAGATGACAACTAAAATTCTATGACTCAGATTCTTACTTACTTCTGTAGGATTTTTCCTTGTGTAGAGTACAAATCTTGTATCAATAACTTGTCTTGGTAGAGGGAACACATTAAATGGGCGGTATATGAGGTGATACCATTCTCGTGTGACATTTAGACAGCCCAGCTCTTCATAACACCGGGTCTCATTCTCAACTGTAAAGGTACCAACAACTTTAGCAGATAAATATATAATGTAAAGTTCTAATTTCTATGTTTCGCTGTGGTTATCTGAGTTGTTATGCTTCTGGGATATGAAATTTGTTATAGTCTTATGTAGGACTATTTACAGCACAGCATAAACTGGATGCATTTTTCCATGCAAATCTTACAGTAATATCAATGTGTGGGATACAAATTCTCATTTACTGTGCAAGAGACAAAATCTTGAATACAGCTGCCCTTCGCTGACCACAAGGGATCACGTTCCTAACACCATGACTGCCAATGGAACAGTTTAAATTATCAGTGTCTTGTGGGAAATTGGGGATTAGGGGAACCATAGCAGCTGATAACAATTATCAGACCTTAACTTAATTAAGAACAAAAAGCCGTGTCATAGTTCAGGTGATTAGTCCCCAGCTTCCCATCGCAGCAGTCAAGGTTCGAGCCAAGGTCAGATCATGTGGGATTTGTGGTGGACAAAGTGGCATTTGGACAGGTTAGGTCTCCTCTGCCAATTCTCATTCCACTGATTGCTCCACACTCATCATCACTAGGGACCGCATTTCAATGTAAATGCTTATTTCTTTCTTGCAACCAAAAACTATGCTCATTTGGATATACTTGTATGTATGAAATACTTAATTTCTTAAATTTTAGATATGGTTTGATGGTGCATATAAATGCATGCTGCATATTTTCTTTTTAAAATATTTAATTTTATATTCAAATTTTCAATTATCGTAATGTGCATACAATTATTCTTTTCCAGATTTGGATATGGTGCATATTTGAGTGGCAGCATTTCATCATATAAACAGCATGTTGAGGCTGGATTCATGTTTCTGATTCAATACGCTGGATGGGACTTCCTCGATCCCTTTGCTCGTGACTTGACTCATTTGCATTCCATCAAAGCGGGTGAGCAGGGATTAGTTAGAAGTGTATTAAAATGTAGCTGCTAACAATGTAATACTATTCAACCAATAATGGACTTCGTTTATTTATTTCCAAAGTCTCCATCAGGTTAGCTATGCTTCTTTATTTGGAGCTGGGTGCATTCATATTAGTGGTGACTAGTTAAATTCATGTAACTTTTTGTAGTCGTGCTGGAAGTAAAAGTAAGTTAGAAAACTATTTATGAGTATATTTTACATGCATATTTTGGAAGTTTATCATGCATAAATGGATACATATTTACGGGATCATTAGGGTATAAAAATCCAGTCCCTAATCATCACCTATCATCGGGGGCTGATACAATAGATGAAATAGTGACCAATGCACCAAGTGGACTTAGTCTCACCCCTCCCCCTTCCCCCCAAAATGAAGTTCAATGTCGTCTGATATGTGATGTTTTGTAGCCTTGTAAATACACGTAGTTCCTTGTGTTTGGAAGGGATGTGCTACCTCCATTTTCAAGATAGAAGTGCCAGACCATGACAGTCAATGTCGTCAGGTCCTCAAAGTCTCTTTTAACTAAGTTGCCTATTTCTTCACTAAACATAAAGATTGCGTAGGATATGATGTTCTCACATCAGTGGTTATGAAGTGTTCTGTCTTCTTTGATACAACATTCAATGCACTGCATGGCATTATACCCCAGATGATAGAATTCCTCATAACTAATATGTATTAACAATATACATAAAATATGACTACGAAAGAAGCACTTCAATAGTAATATGAAAGTCAGGAAACTATTTTTGGCTGTCATTAAAGTCCTACCCTAAGTAAATATATATCTCTTGATGTGTACGCCACAGATATTTTCCATGTGCGCACAAACTGAAAACTGCAGCAGCGTAAAACAAAATACATGCGTTGGCTGATGCAAATGGAAGACCGCAGATGGCGTGGAATTGCTGCACATCTTATAAGGTTCATTTTACAGTGATCAAATGAAGAGAAAATTATTCTGGGAAACAAATGTTCTGACAACTACGAATAACTGACAAGAAGAAAATGCTTTGTGATCAAAGGACAGCTTACAGCTGGTCACAGTATTTTTTTTATTGCTAGTGGAGTGGGACTAAGTCCCTTGTACTGCGGCCACTTGTGACCTATTGTACCAGCCCCAGATGATAGGTGAGGGTTACTGTGAAGCAATTGGTGGAATGAAGATTGGCAGGGGAAACGGAAGTACTCGGAGAAAACCTGCCCCAGCGCCACTTTGTCCAGCACAAATCCAACTTGACCAGACCCGGGATCGAACCCGGGCCGACGCGGTGGGAAACCAGCGATTAACCGCTTGAGCTAGTGGCCTCCGTAGTCTATGGGTAACGTTCCCACCTCATGACTCAAGTTACGCGGGTTCAAACCCGGCGGAGGTCGTGGAATTTTTAAGGGCGGAAAAATTCAGGGAACAAGTCCTCCGGGAGGGACTTTAAGTCGTGGGTCCCGTGTCGTAGATTTGCGGCATGTAAAAGATCCTCATGTCTCTAGGAGACCTCTGAGCAAAATTAGGCAAAAAGTTTCCCGCCCAAGTAGTTTCTAATGCCTCCGGTAGCTGGGGAAGTTATCGGGTACCAATGCCAGTAGAGGGCCGACCTCGCTGGCAGAAAGGGGAGATAGCGGGCGCCAGTATCAGTAGGGAATGGCGACAGTAGAAATTAAAGGGGGACGTACAATAGACTACTAGTCGCGGTGCATGGGGAAACCCACCCCCTCTATACTGAATAACTGAATGAACCGCTTGAGCTTTGGCGCGGCCTGTGGTTACAGTATCATCCGTATCGTGTGCAGGGGACCTCATCGGTTGAACTGCAGCATACTCTCAGTGAAAGTCTGCACGTATTACCAAGCTGAGCTGCTACGAATAAATAAATGGCGTCTTGGTATGAAAGTAGGTGTCGCAGGACACCAGAAGGAAAAGAGAATTTGTGATGGGCAACCACTCTCTTTCCTGAGATTTAAACCCGGAACTCCCTTAATACTAAACAGGAACACTGTCCGATCAACTGCTACGTTACACCCCACATCTTCTTGCATGAGTTGTTCTTAAGTTGTGACCAGAGTGTTTCTGCTCAAAAGCTTCTCACTTTGTGATTTCCTCCATCCTGCTATTAATCTCTCTCTCTCTCTCTTATGCCTAAGTCATAATCACGTTATTGGGAACCAACGGTATATATATATATAAATGTCCATCTGCTTCGTAACTTGTACTCTTCTCCAAGTATAATTAGAATGATTAAGTCAAGGAGGATGAGGTGGGTAGGGCATGTAGCACGAATGGGGATAGCAGGATTGCATATAGGATATTGGTGGGAAAGCCAGTAAGAAAGAGACTACTGGGAAGAGCAAGGTTTTGGTGGGTGGACAATATTAAAATGGATCTTAGATAGGATGGGATGGTATGGATTGGATTGATCTGGATCAGGATTGGGACCAGTGGAGGGCTCTTGTGAACACGGTTATGAACCTTCGGGTTCCATAAATGTTGGGAAATTCTTGACTAGTTGTACAATTGGTGGTTTCTCAAGAAGGGCTCAGCTCCATGAATGAGAGTGAATTTCCATCTGCATTGAGAAGATAGTCACAGACTCTGATCACTATCGCTTCCGGTCTAAAGCCACGGAGTTATTATTACTACTACTACTACTGTTACCGCCATCTTTAAGCCGTTTGTCTAGATATAGTGGGACCCTCAACGTCTCACAACCCTATCGGCCTTCACGGCCTGGTACACGGATGGCTTTATTTTTTTACTTTCACTACTATTACTATTATGATTATGATAGAGGACCGCCTCTGTGGTCTAGTGGTCAGAGTTCCTAGCTTCAGATCCAGAGGTCCCTGGTTCGATTCTCGGCGCTACCAGATTTACTAAGTAGTGGGTCTGGAACGGGGTTCACTCAGCCTCGTGAGGATAATTGAGGAGTTATTTCAAGGAAATAGCGGCTCCGGTCTAGAAAACCGAGGTTAACGACCATGGGAATCCGTTGCGCTGACCACGCGACACCCTCTATCCGCAAAAGTTGGCACTAACTTCGCCGAGAAGTGGCGGTCGCTCGGACGGTATAGTTCGCTTGTGGACTACAGGCCACGGAGTTTTTGTTTGTATTGTTACTGTTATTATTATTATTATTATTATTATTATTATTTCCTGAATATTCTAAATCGAGCCGTAAAAAGTTCTTCAACAGTTTAAACGTGTGTGAAAGCAAATTTTTGGCTCCCCAATCCCCGAAAAGATTCTGGAGGCGATTATTCAGATTGTGGTCTTATGGGTTATGACACCGTGCAGTCTTGCACGTGGATACTAATATTTCCTACGAAAAAATGTTAAGTCTTGTAGGTGGATACCAACGCCGCCTCCATCTTTGGCCTTGAAAATGGAAGCAAAATTTTCCTACAAAACGTTGGTGTTCACCTACAAGTTTGCATGGTCTCACGACCCACAAGACAACAGTCTGAATACATACGTCCTACTGTCTCGTTTGTTAATTATTTGAGTCACGTTATTAGCCCCCCCCCCAAATGCTTCTCTCCTTCGTGATTTTCGGGCTCTCGTCAATGTCGCAGTAACAAATGCACCCAGAAATACAATGTATTTACCTTACTATTGCGTATAACATTGCTTCGTTCAGTTCTCCCACTCCTGTGTTTCTGTTCTGGCTGATTGCTGTATGGTTTTGTGGTGGACTAGAAGTATAGCTCCGAAGCACATGAAAGTTTTGCAGGGAAGTCACTTGATAGACTTGCAGTTAGAAAACGAAGACGTAGGAGGATAACATTAAAATGCACTTATGTGAGATAAACAGCGCGGAAGGTTGAGAGCTGGAATTGACTGGCTCAAGACCATGTCCAATGGTGTGCTTTGTTTGGTGGTGTTTGACCTATGGGTTCTACTGCCAGACAGTGTAACGATGTTGTGAAGTGTACTGTTGAACTGCATGCACTCACTCACTCACTCACTCACTCACTCACTCACTCCTGGAGTTGAGCCCTTCTTGAGAAGCTGCAAAAGGTGCAACTACTCAAGAACTTCCCAGCATTTTTTGGACCCCGAAGGTTCATTACCGTGTTCACAACAGCCCTCCAGCGGTCCCTATCCTGAGCCAAATCAATCCAATCCATACCATCCCATCCTATCTCTCTGAGATCGGTTTTAAAATTGTCCACCTATCTACGCCTAGGTGTTCCCAGTGGTCTCTTTCATTCTGGTTTTCCCACCAATTTCCTATATGCATTTCTTCTTTCTACCATTCGTGCTACATGCCCTGTCCATCTCATCCTCCTTGACTTAATCATTCTAATTAAGCTTGAAGAAGCGTACAACTTATAAAGCTCCTCCTACCTCTATTCTTGGTATGCTACGTACATTAGCTTCACGAACGTCCAAACTCTTGCTAAGTGATTTTACACGACGGAGCAGGTTGGTGTATTCTTAACGCTTCAAATTCGGAAGGAACTCTTATCTGAATGTCGGCCTGGACACCAACTATCCCGACTGGGAATTTTCGTGGTTCGATAAGTTCCTTTAAAAAAATCCGTCAAAATGTGTCTCTTAGCACAAGGCTGCTTCTTTTCAAATCCTTTCCAGTCGAATCATTCTAACATTCAACGCTATATAGTCTTGATAATGGCAGAGTCTTGATAAAAGAGACAACAAGTTAGATATGACACTTTCCCCTCCATAAAAAATCGCGCATTGTTTTTTGTGCCACTTACACGGAAGCCACGGAATGTTGACTTGCAGGCGGTCGGAGCGCCCCCAGTCCAGGAGTCCGGTGGTGCTCAAGCGGACCGTGGCTGATACGAGCACCACCGCCAGCCAAGTTCGGCATCCTGCACGGGATATCGCCATTTGTCAGCTCGTCACTGTCGAAATCTGCAGGAATACAATACAGCGTCTATCAGTACAAGTGTGATATGAATGTCTGGTAGCCATTTTGAAAGTTCTTCAAAATGGTTGGAACGGACCAGTGAAATCTAAAACGTGCAGATGATGATGACGATGATGATGTCCACGACGTCTTCTAAATATATCAATGTCAATTGTGAGTGTTGCTGCGACGTGAAATCTGGAAAATCAAGTCTGTTTATGAGGTAGGAATATCATACATAAGAGGTACAAGAAATTCTTGAAGAAGTAATCACCTAATTTTCCTTGATGCTACACTTGCCGCATAGAAAACAAAATAACTATGTGAATACACAGACAGACACACGGACAGCAAAGTTATCTTATAAGACCCCATTTATTGTTTCAAGATAGGGAATATAAGCTAGTAACATTGAAACCCATGTTGGCCACCTGTGATTCCATTTAAGCGCGACGAATTTAAGCATATAGACAACTCGCAGAAGATAATTAAAATATTTAATAGATCCCTTCCTTGGCTGGAATCCAAGTGGAATCTAACCCATTCAAGTACTCACTCCATACTTGTTTTAAAAAAGTTTCAAGAAATGTTAGAAACTGAATCTGGATATATCAGTTCTTTTTATTAGATTGCGGGCCATAAACTTCTCTAATTTGGAATTAAAGACGTTTTTCTCACGTTGGGGTTTATGGCTTGTCTGCGAGTGCTATCAGAGTGTCGCCTTGAAGATGCCGCACACCATGGAAGGGAACATTAACCCTCATTTCACGCCGCCCCTGTGTCCTCCAAGATGAGTCTTCAAAGAGATTCCGAGGAGAAATGGCAACACAGGACTTGGATTCTGGACATGGAAATAGCCGGGTGTTCAGTACACACAAGTGATTCGGATCCTAGTTTGCAGCGCATCTGGTCAGTGGCTCCGATCTGAAGGAGCGCAGAAATTTTCCAAATTACACGTACTTTGATGGCCACGAGGGGAACCTTCTACGTAAACATTGACATATATTCTAAATAAATCAATTCAATTCCAGGCACAACTAGTCTGACGTTTCGTAATAACCGCGTCTAACTGAAGTGTGGATAATTATTAAAGCGACATTCCTTTATTACTCAAATTAATACAGTATATACCAAAGGTAGCTGTGACTCTAATCGTGACTTATTTGTAACTAGTTAATTGTATAAACTTCACATTACGAACTCGGTTCTTTGTTTACGCTGCTATCCAATGCAGTTTATACGCCCTGAGGACTAAGCTGATGTGTCCAATTTAATTTCAGTCCCAACTGGTTTTCCTGGACATTTCTAATGGCATATTCTAAAGCAAAGTTGAAAAGCAGTGGCTATAAAGCATCTCCTTGTTTTAGACCATTCAGGATAAGGAAATTATGGAACAAATATTTACCTACACGGACTTTACTATACGTTTCGTTTAAACACATTTTAATCAACCTAACTAGTTTCATGGGTACCCAGAACTCTATCAGAATATTGTACGATACTTCCTCCCTTCCCTTGAAGTCTACGAACAGCTGATGTACTGTCCCATTGTACTCCCATTTTTTTTTACAGTATCTGATGAACGCAAAAGGAGCCGGGATAGCTCAGTCAGTATAGCAACTGGCTACGGGCTGGAGGACAGAGGAGTCGGAGTTCGAGTCCCGGTGAGGCAAGACTTTTCACTTCTCCATGTCTTCCAGACCGGCAATGGGGTTCACCTAACCTCCTGTACAATGGGTACCGGAGGCTCTTTCCCGGGGGTAAAGCAGCCGGCGTGTGAAGCTGACCACTCACCTCCAACTAGTGCCGAGGTCGAGAAAATGTGGATCTATACATCCACTCCCCATACACCTTCATGGCGTAGGGCTTAATTAGTTAAGCACAGGGTTAACTTTACAATTTTTCTGATGAATGCAAAAGGTCTGATCAGTAGCCGATTTGTTACGTCGAAACCCACACTGATAATCCCCAATAATTTCATCTATATACGGACTTAAGCTTGATAGAAGAATATTGAATAAAAAAATTTATTTGAAGTTGACAGCAGCGATATTCCTCGATAATTACCACTGTCAGTTTTATCGCCTTTTTGTGAAGCGATCAAATAATAGACTCCTTCCACTGATCAGGCAACTTTTTCTTATTCCAATAGAAGTAATTAGCTTATAGAACTTGTAATACTTCATCTCCTGCTTGAATCAATTCTGCCGGAATTTGATTACCACCTGCCGATTTATAACTTTTCAATTTCGCAACAGCAATTTCAACCTCAAAAGGGTTAGGATAATGTACTAACAGCTTAGCTGTATGTATTTCTATCTGCCTGACATCTCTGACCCTATGTACATTCAATAACTGAGAGAAGTAGTTCTTCCACCTATTAAAAATATTGTGGAATCTGCAAGCAGAACACCAATCTCATTTTTCACTAACTTACTTCTAGGTTGGCAACCCCTTATTTATTCCACTATACAGACTTCTAATGTTCTTGTTCTTGCTGTTCGTTACAAGCTGATCAATTTTGTTTTTCTGATATTCTATCTTTTTATTTCTGAATTGCCTGCTGTTTTCGCGTCTTATATTGTTCAGATTATCCAAATTTATTTCGCTTGGATCCTGTAACCACTGCAATTTGGTTTGTTTTCTTTGGTCTAACAATTCTGAACATCCTTCATCGAACCATGGCTTATGCTTCTTCAATTCCTAATAACCTAGACTCTCTTTGCCCTCACCAGATGGTGATCAGTATCACAGTCTGCTCATCTGATCGATCGGAAATCCAGTACATTTGAATACTGTCTCCTCTCTATCGAAATATGGTAATCTTGTTGAGATTATTTCCATCAAAGATAAACTACCAACACAACAATTTTTGGAGAACATGACATGACAATATCCTCGTAAAAGATAGCATGAAATCGTAACAGGAATCCAAGCTTGAACTTTTGAAGATCATAACATCAATTTCAAAATTTCTTCTCCGTAAATAAACAGGGTTTGAATGTTAACTAGACCTTATCCAGTATTTTCTCTTATAATCTAAGGCATGGTGCTACAGAATTATAAGTTCCTAGATGCTCGGATATCTAAAATATAATTGAAATTCAGTTATGAACCGTACCAATCGAGAAAAATGTTTCGGAGTATAATACAGGGTGATTCATATAGAACCGGCCCGACGAAATGAGGTGTAATATAAAATATACCATACAGATATTAAAATAATTTACACATATCTTATCTTGGATTGTGTGCCGTGATCAGAGCAGGTGTTGAACGTGTCCGCCGTTTTCAAGTAAGCATTAGAAACACTCGCTGTTCAATAGTGTACTCCATGACTGTCGCCTGCCCACTGCAGACACGTTTTGGCATTGTCCTTGACATTGCAGCATAAGGGCTGCCACTTGAACGATCATGCGCACACCATTCGACTCAGCACGGTCCACGGATTATTATGTCGTAATTGTGAGCGGTTATATGCATCACCTGCGGAATTATTAGCAAATTCATCGGGCCGGTTCTATACGATTCACCCTGTATGTCAGTGCAGCAGGAACTCGCCTCTCCTGCTCCCAATAGTCTGGTCTGTAGCCTAGTAACCGTACTGCCCTGACCTCATAGGGAGGTGGGCCACCGGCAGGTAACGTATTCATGTGCGAAGGAGGCAGCATACGTACAGATATATTGATCTGGAAGTGGGAATAAAGATAACATTGTCAATATTTTATCTTCACTCTTATTTCGACGGTGAATACGATATCTCATATCGCACAACATGCGTCATTGTAAGCCCGTTTCTTTCAACTTCCGAAAACATAGCAACAGAAGACGGCATTACGAATGTCATACAGACACAGTTTCTCAGCAGATACGAGGGACAGTCACTAAATATGTCACAAATTGATGTAAAACTTGGGAAAAACATTTATTTCTCGACATATCCTCCACCAACACTGATACGCTTGTTCAATTGCTTTACCAGTGCGTCAAAACCCGCAGCATAGAAGTCTTTTTCCTGCTTCCTCAGTTGCTTCTGCACCTACACTTCAACATCTTCGTTATCAGGAAAACGTTCGCCACAATTGTGTTTCTTTTTTAAGCGAGCCAAATAGATTGAAGTCGCTAGGGGCTAAAGACAGCCTGTAATATTCAAGAAGTTCCCACTGTAGTTCTTGAATTCTCTTCCTGGTGTTTTCGGCCTGCATGAGGTCTGGCATTGTCATGATGAAGCAGCACTCCTCTTGCCAGTCGGTCTGGAAGTTATCTGTGAATTGTAGCCCGAAGCTTCAAAAGAACTATAAAGTACGACGCAGAATTCACATTTTAACTACGCTTCTGAAAATGGGGTAACTGTACTCCCCGATAATCCAAAAACACGGTAAGCACAACCTTCCCAGCTGATAGCGTAACCTTACACTTGACGCTTTTTGGTTGAAGGTGAACTGGGATCTTTCCATTGCACTGAAGCACGTTTTGTTTCGGGTTGGTAGTGAAGCACCCATGATTCATCCCCAGTAACAATCCCGTTAAGCATATCTTCTCCATCTGCTACCATAGGAGATGTTACAAGGACAAGACCAGTCGTCTCATTTTTTTCTCGATCCTTCAGTCTTCTGGGCACCAAATCTTAGCACACTTTCTGAAGCTTCAAACGATCATGCACTATGCTGTATACTAAACCACTGGAAACCCCTAGTGCAGTTGCTACACTCTCTATCGTTATCCTCCTGTCAGCTTGAATTAACTCTTCCACCCTCTGCACAGTTGCTTCTGTCGCATTCTCAACAGGGAGATCTGGTCGGGCATCATCTGCGACTTTCAAACGTTCTTGAGAGAATTTATAGACCCAGTTGTGGACCATTTTATGGGACAAACACTTAGCCCCATAAACAGGAAATACTTCTTTATGAATATCCTTTGCATTGAGTCATTTTTCCCACGAAAAAAAACGCACAACATAATGCTATTCTTCAGTAGTTCACTTCTCAAGTATGGCCGCCATTTT